GGGTAATATATGTGTACAATTTTGAATACAAATTATTTGATGTTATTATGAGGTCATAGAAAAATTCATTACAGATTTTTTTTTACTTAAATAAGCCCATCTATGGTTTTTATTTGCATGTGCTTCAGGCTAACAGAATCCACATTATATGCACTGTTTGGATAAATGATCAGTCTGTATCAGAGGAGGATTTTAAACAACATTCCCCTCCAATTGATGCTCTAAACAGCTCATAACATATCAATAAATGTCAAATATGTTGGTTTTATTACCCAGTTATGTTAATGACACACCATCAACTTTTTGTGTTTCTCAGATTATGTTTTAAAACTGAAAGAATTACGTCTTTTTTAAAAGCATTGATGTATTTTATTTAAAACTTGCTTTGCTGTGGCTGATTTTGTGCATCACATATAACAGATCTGTTCTTTCTTATTGTTTTTCCTCAGTTTTTGTGGGGATGTTTTAAATCAGAGAGAAGCACCCCTGCAGGAAACTAATCTCACCGAGTTCTTCCTGCAGGGACACTGGTCCTGATATTATTCAGCGCTGCAGCGGGGCGCCTCAAACTTTTATTTGCCGCCAATGTTTCGAGGGCAGAAAACCTCGCTGTACATAATTTACAACCGGAGCACAAAAACACAAAAGTTGTTGCTCAGACAGATGGAAAAATCTCTGCAAACGAACACCAGCATTTTATTCTTTTCACCACAACAACCTGACTGTGTGYATTACAGGCTGTGATCGTTTCTAATGTCATACATGTTTGTCTCCAGCTGAGGGCAGAAAACCTTCTAGGATAAATGAAAGAGGAGGAGGATGTGGAAGAAGATCATGTAAACTTTGGAAGCTTTACAGAAAAAAAAATTCTCATCATTTTTACAAAAATGCATTTTCTCTTGTTTTATTTCAAACAGTTTAAATAAAGAAAATGCTTCTTACTGAACTTTATCACCCCTGGCAAAAAGTTCTTGAAGTTCATTTTTACAAGTATATTTGAGTATAAGTTGAAGTACACCAAGTATACGCACCATACTTGTAGTGTACTAGAAAGTATACTGATTTAATACTTATTCTGACTAAATTGGGACTTTTTTAGTTTATAAAATGTATAATTTGAGTATAGTGTTAAGTTGATCAAATTATACATTCAAGTACACTCATCTATATACTACTAGTGTACTACATATATGCTTGTGGTTCACATTTTAGCTTACTGCAGTAATATACCACAGGTATACTTTTCTCTATACTGCCATTGCATTATACTTCTACTCCTCGTTTCTGTTTATTTAAGTATATTTTAAGTACTTTTATGACAACAGAATTTTTGCCATTTTTATTGTTAGATTATATTTGTAAGTTTGCTTTACTTGTAAAATACTATTTATATTCTGAAATATACTTCCTAAAGTATTCTTTAAAATACTGTATGTACACTACACTGTAATGTGTTTACAAAATCACAAATCGGAATCTTGACAACAACTTTGCTATRTTTATATAAGATTTAAAACAGTATAAGTTTAAGTCTTAGTATTCATATATTTAAACTTCTGTGTACACTTTTCAGCATAAGGTCAAGTATACTTCACTATAATATTAAGTATGTCAAATATAGTTTATTAAAAGTAAAATTCAAGTACACTGTCTCATTTTTAGTGTAAAATAAGTAAAACTAAACTTGTAGTACACTTAAATCTACTTTTTGTTGAAGGCAGATGTGGYGTAGGAGATACACAAAAGCACACACTTATGGGGAAAAAATGCATCACACACTACTCGACTACTATTATAAAAGTTTACATCAATTTATGGTAGTTTTAAAATATATTTCATTTTGTTAGTAATTTTCTGATTTAATTTTATCTCTGGAGAATGTCTCTTCACTTGTTAGACCCACAGTGGGGTTCCAGCCCTACCTTAGGGAAAAACTGAAACTAGTGCGCCTAAACTATTTACTGTTTTTAAAATTTACTAAAATGACATCTTGAAATATTCAACTAGAAATAAAGAGACCTGAAAACGAAAATGACGTCAGATAATCACTGAAATAGTTCTCCGCAGACGTGCCGTGCGTTTCGTACAAAGGTGTGTGAGTTGTGGTATTTCCGACGGTCCCTAAAGGCAGCAGCGCTGGAGGAGGATCGCTGGTGACTGTAGTCATTTCAACTATTTCTGAACGCAGCAGCCGTGTCATCATGCTCCTAAATGTTGATTTTGGGGGTGTAGGGTTCGAGCTTTACCTCGTAACTTCCTCATAGGCGTGCTGAYACGTTAATAATGGAGTTTTTTAACGAGCCCAGCTAGCCTCACTGCGGACATTGTCTTCGTCGTAGCCACGATCGGCTAGCAAACCACTGCTAGTTGTTGTTAGCTTCCGCGGCTAATAATAATAATATGGCGATTGTGTCTGGCTCCTGTGCCCGGGTGAACGGCTCTAGAAACGGGCCCTCCGTGTCAGCGGCACCCCCCGGGCCCGTCGGACAGTCTCAGCCCATGATAGCGGTGTGGGAATGGCAGGACGACCAGGGCTACTGGCGGCCCTACAGCGGCCAGGTGAGCGCCCACATCGAGCGCTGCGCGTCCCGGCGAGGGCCCAGGCTAGGGGTCGGAGGAGCCGGCTCGACGAGCGTCTGCCTCGGACAGTCCGACCCCAGCCTGTCGCCTTACCTCATCGATATACCGAGCCTGAAGCAGTTCCGACAGGACACAGGTGAACATTTCTAACATATTTCTAAACTGTGCCAMATATCCTAGCATGATGCAAGAGGCCTGTTAGCTGCTGAACATCAGCTGGAAGGAAAGATTAGTCATGTTGCTGAGCCTCATTATTGTTAAATTATGATGATTGTGCACTTAACATTAAATATTGTAACCTTGGTTTGATGTTTAGGATTGAATGAAAACATCTTATAAACAGTTTAAATACTAAGCTAAACGACTGGACCATGACAATGCAGCAAAGCCTGATGTGAGGAGGTGTTTTTAGCTTTTTATTTTATTTTCACCGACAAGGCTTCAAAGTTTGTGTTTATTATAAGAACATCTCATCTCTTTTATAAAAAGGCAGCTTAAAGCATCCATTACGTCACATACAGCCATCCACAAGCCTTATAATAAAGAGAAAATAGAGTTTAACTAATAAATATTGTAGATAAAACAAAGTTTAGGTGTCAGTCAGGACATTTGTTGTGTTTAAGCTCTTTGACTTGATGAAATAAGAAGTGCTTAATGTTTTTTGTTGATTTGCTTCATTCCCAGGAACGACTCGTTCTGTTCGGCGCTCCCTGTTCGCCCAGTCTTCAGGCCTCAGCAGTGGTGTTTACTGGGAATGGGCGAACGACGAGGGAGGCTGGACCCCGTACGAGACCCGCACCTCCATCCTTTTGGAGCACAGCTATCAGGCCCGCCAAGGCACGGCGGACCTGGGCCCCCACGGATACAATTACATCGTGGATCTCACCTCTCTGGCCCAGGTGAACAAAGCCACGGGCTTCAGGCGCCAGGTGCGGCGGCAGTGCAACCTCCCCTACCCGCTGGCCTCCTCCGGACCCCCGGCCATCCCCTCGACCCCCGCCTGCTCGTGTCAGCAGTGTCTGAGCCACAGCAGCACAGGACCCATGCCCAGCCGGTCCCGACACTCCTTTTCGTCGGGGAGTCTGAACCGACCCAGCCTCCAGGGGACCGGGAGGGTCGCTGCGGCCCACCCTACTTCTGTTTACTCGCCGTACCCTAGGAGGCCCCTCTCTGTCGGGGGGATGTCCTGGGGCAGCCCCTGGCCCCCCCCAGCCTCTGCCAGTCACATGTCCGCACCACATCTGAGCAGCTCTACAAGTTCTAACGGGTTGAGGTGAGTTTGACTCATGAAACGTCGGTGCAACACACACACACACACACACACACACACACACACACACACACACACACACACAC